GCATACACGTGGAGTCACTATAAGTCAGATATCGATGTGGCTTTGATCATTCGGAATATCAATATTAGGTCACAAGGATCTGTAAGAGTGGACAATGTGGAGACCCTGAGTACTATTAGCCATCGATCGAGGCAATCAGTATCTCAATATTAATCTCAGGTCACAGGGTTCCTGCATGAGGCCCTAATCGGTAGAAAAGGATTGGTCAGAAACGTGGGCACGCGATTGCGCTGCATCATTGGTTCGTCGAAGTCCAACTCATCAATTCAAAACCCACTGCCACATCCTCCACATCGACTTTGCGTTCCATCCAAACTGTTCGTCGTGGACAGTGAATCGAGGACAGTTTCCCTTTGTGACCCACGTATGCAACTACCTGTCGACACTAGCACGGACCGTGCTCGACCTTCAAACGAGTCCCTTTCAACTCACAGTCAATCGTACACAGCGTTATCGAGGGTGAGAACGTGAAGAGATACAATGTGTCTATTTGCAGAGACGAGCGGACTGTGCTGATATTGTATTTCCCGAGTTGCTACTGTAGACACGGTATATCGTTGAGGAGCCGACCGAAGGAGTGTCCTGAGTCCGCTGACCGGTTGAACGGTGACAGTCAGGTGCTTTGTGACAGCAAGTTCTACCCATTCTGACTCCGCAAATTGTCGCCCTTGTTTTCATGATACTCTTCGCCATCTCATCTCATGGCCCCGTCTGCCATTTATGCTAGATGGAATACACTGGATGGATCCGACATTTTACCCGCTTGCGCTCTCATTAATTCACAAGGATTCTTCGATGCTTGAGCAGTGAGTTCAGGAATGAACGAAACAGAGATGCTCGCTTTTGACTTTCATTCATTATCAAAATGATGTAGGCACAAGAAAGCAGGTGTTTACAATGTAACAAAACGAATTGACCCTTTCCGAGGGTCGAGAATGCAACAAGGTATCAGACTGGGGGGAGGGGTGGAAGTTCCGACGGCTCACAAGAAAATAAATCAAAACCAGCGAACAAAGGACCAACAAAATTATCAATATTTGGGGTTATCAGTCCTGGGCTCAGTACGGGCCTACCTATAGGATAGAAAAAGCACTTATGTTACAATCCAATCGAGATTTGAGCAAGACGATCTGACTTACTTTTAACGCCCCGACTGTAGACGCCTACGCACACTTTCCTCGACATCATCCCGAAGCTCTGCCTCGTCAATTGTTTTTGAGGAACGCGCATTCTGCAACCTTGCGAGCATGGCGTCCTTGCAAACGATGTAGACCCTCCGAGGAGAGAGGCTTTTGTCCTCAAGGCTCTTCCGCACATTTTCGTTCGTTTCGTGGATGAACCTCCTCTTTTCTTCAAATTTGATTTGCAGAAAACGAGAACGTGTCTCGTCATCAGTGTCAGGATCACAAGGGTCAAAACCTGGTATGTTGTCGCACGCCATGTTGTTGATGTGTTGATCTGATTTGGAGCGAACAATGAATACCTCAACGGTACTGCACTGCTGGCAGGCACTGAGGATGGCGAGGTCAGATTCCAAGAAACGGTTGTCGATGAGGATGATGATGCAGTCGAAGATGTAGAGTCCCTGGTCGTTGAAATACTGCCAATCGGGCACGCTTGGTGTGCCTGCTCCAGGAACGTCATACCAAATGATCCGGGAGTTTGGACGTGGATCAGGATAACTTGTGACGGTGTCGGTAGTTTCGACAATCCCCGTGCGAGCGGCAATGGGATCATTATTGGACAGGCCACGGACGGCATTGATGAAGGATGACTTCCCAGCTCCAGCAGAGCCAACAACAGCGATGTGAATGAAGTTTGGGCTGTAACCATAGCGGGCTTTCATCTCAATAATTTCTTGATCTGAAGGGTGGCGCTCAGGGCGAACTCCTTCAAACCATCTACGCTCAGTCGCGAGTCTTGCTTCATCTGCTCTGTGAAAAGCTTCTTCAGTCTCATCCAACGCTTGCTGCAGTTCTTCCTGACGTCTCCTCACAGCCTCTGCTGCTTCATCCGCGAGATGCCTGGCTCTTTCCGCGGCTTCGGCTCGTTCCCGTGATAATGTGGCCTCTTCTTGGGCCATTCTAGATCTGCTTTCCGCCTCATTTGCCCTGCGCCTCGCCTCTTCCGCTTCCTGCCTCACAGTATGCGCTTGTGCTTCTAAATCCCTTGCCCTCTGTTCTGCTCTCCATTGCTCGGATCTTCCATAACCACTACCCTCATCACCATCATCCGAAAGGAAGCCTAGGAAAGGGAGTACTGAAGCAACTGCACCCATGCAGTGCAAACAAATGGGGGGAAAACTTGACGCTCAGAAGGGTTGCGTGGAATGTGTTCTCCGTGTATGCCCGATGTGACCTAGACAAGGATCAATCAATTGTGCGGTACAGAGCTTCAAGCTTTGCTCACCTCTTGTGTGGATCGCAGTAGTGCAAATGCAGTGTCCAAGTGATGAGAGCTCTGCAGGGAAGACAAGAGACAATGATCCGACAAGGGCAAGCAGGGATCTTATACTTATCCAGACAAAAGCCAGGAGAACACGCGATAAACCTAATAGCCAGTCAAGTGTCACATAGCTTCTAACATGTTGCGCCAAGTGCACGTGAGGGGCAGGATAAAAGTACCCTCTAAATTTTTGCATTGACACCACTAGAAACGATGATTAGGTCTAGTGCCCTTTCAAAATTAAACGCTGCTCTATTAATCTCCGCGTCAACAGCCCTCCAGGGATGAAAAGGGTACGCGCTTGTACAAAGACACCGTGCCTCTTTTAGAGACCAGCTGCTAGGTACAGATCCTGTAACCTGAGATCGAGATACTGACTGCCTTGGTCGATTATTATGGCTAGTACTCAGGTACCTGCATGTTGCCCACTCTTACGATTCCGTCACTTCCGAATGATCAAAGCTACATTGATGTCTGACTCCCGCAGTCTCTCACCCCAGCTCACCCCCCTAGTCAGTAGGAGACCGTGCCAATCTGGTACTATCTTTGGCGACCGATCACATCGCACCTCATGTGAGTCGTGTGGATATCAACCACTAGTATCAAGTTATGAATAGGACATTTGGTGACTCCTATCTGCAGCTACCTTGCCGTACGACTTCGTCAAAACGCAGTACCAGGCGGGGAGCTGTGGGGTGCGTGTTGGATAGTGTTTGCAGGTATTAAAAGGTGAAGAAGTTCAAAGTTCAAACATTCATAGATCAGGTCAGTAATGATGCAGATGTATCAACTAATCTTGCTTCCTAATCCGTTGAACCAGGCATGGTATGCTTCCATACACCTCGACCAATCCCAAGCTTTATGACCAACAGTTGACACAAATACACTGTTTGACCTACATGTCTTCCATTTCATAATGAGCTAGGCGTGCGTGTGAATAGCTAGTCTGGGTGGTGCAGGAGGATACTTCCCTTCTGCGTAGCTGATGCATAGCCTACACTCGGCATCCATTGCGACAGTGTCTTCCCCAACTCGAATCAGGGTTCAGCATGACTAGATCCTTCGACGCTTCAATGCTGTTTTATCCTCTCTATATCTCTGGCACCAGTTACTTCATCAACGAAATCATCAATCTCACTGAATATATCAAATAGGTGTTATCGTTGATTTCAACAACTCAAATGTGGAGTCTGCTGAAGAACGGACCAGCCTCAGGTCGCCCATGCCAATCAAAAAGAGTAGGAAAGGCTTTGCGCCAGATGTTTTCTCCACCCATGTAAGGACTCGACCCCGACAACTTATCTACCTGATGTACTATTGTGTTTTATTATAGGAAACTGGATACATTTTCTTTACATGTGTGGTACAAGAGATAGTATGAAAGTAACCAAGAAGATATTGTTTTCCAACCGGAAAACATATTCCGCCTGTGTGGTACAAGAGAAAGACGAAGTGGAGCAACAGTCATCGTGCCCTCGCCTTGGTTGCTCATGGATTCGACCTCGCATGCACAGAATACAACAATGTTCATAAAAACATCACGATTGTCATCGAACTTTCCAGGTATCCAACAACCAAAGTAAGATTCCATGTCCCCCATCAAAAACATCGAAGTCGTAGATTAGTGGGCTGAGCAACTTGTCTCGTCTTCTGACGAAACGCTGGAACTCCGGCCTACCACGGATGAAATATGTCTTCAGTGAGTCCAAATCACTGTGAAGTGCCATTCTTTAGGCTAACACTAGAGGCTCCCTGAGGTTCCGAATTCTAGTGATAGAAAAGGTATTAGGCTTTTATTAGTCTCAGGCCAGTGTTGACACGAAACTTCTCATAGACTGGCGTAGGCAAGTTTTCACTGATCAACTACGCATTCGGAGTGCGAAATGCGGTGGGTGGAACGCGATACTTCAACGAGCACAGCTACTCATATTGTTAATAGACCTCTTCGCACGATAAGCCAGGCGAGGTCAGCATGGACCATGACTCGGAGTTCATCTCACCGCAGAATAATGGCAAAGGTCTTGAATTAGCAGAAAAGGACAACCTCAATATAGTCTGGAGTTCCGTCACAGAGCAATGCCTGACCTGAAAGATCAGCTACATGCTGTTTGGTGGGACCTCCATCTTAGTGCGCCTGTACAGCAAGCTGACGACATACATGGCTTTGCTTTGAAATACCCCACGCAGGCTGGTGTTTACTAGAGACTGGCGTGGAGCAATTCCTCACATCGAAGTGTGAAGGAGAGTTGGGAACCAGTACATTAATGGAATACTATCGCTCTGCACAGATCACAGCTAACGCAGCTCAAAATTTCCATTGTTTTCACTAAATACGACATCCTCCTCGACCACGTGGAGCGCCGGCCGAACTCTGGACAAGTCCTCTCCCAAGGGTTTGAGCAAGGAGACCATCGAGGAACTTGCCGAGAGAAAAAGCTACAGGAAGTCTGTATCGCACCCCTAGAGAAATTTGCAAGGTTGGCTATCCGCATGTCACGGTCTCCACTGCGCCCAGAACACGTTGGAACCACTGGAGCGGGACGCTCCAACCAAACCTAAGCAGAACGGGACAAGGCAGAACGAGCAAGAGGTAGCATTAGGGGACTTGGCATTAGCCGAGATAGCATCAGCACAGGATAGAGAGCGGTAGCAGTAGTCAGACTTAGACACGGATCAGCATCGTTCTGGCATCATCTCTTCTGACAGCAAGGCTGACCAGGTCCACCACACCACGAATGCTTCTTTGGAGCCATCAAAGTCCGCCGGCTTCAAGACTTTAAAGGGCTTGGAAGAACTAGTGTCAGACATGATAGGTGTTATAGGGGTTGTAGGTGTTGCTTGCGCATAGGTTACCCAAGTGTGTCGGCGAGTTTCATGAGGTTCAATATACATCATGATGTTGGTAAGGCTAAGTGGCGGAGTCAGAATCGAGACGCCACTCAAACAACAACAAAGGTCTCCTAGACGTTCAAGGAAGGGAGGATGTACAACTCTGAAGACACATACCAAACGAGCAAGCGAGGTCAAACATCGTTTCCCGTGACCGAAACGCGAAAGGTTTATGACACCAGCGCTAATCGAGAACACCATGAGCCTGTACAACTTCGAGGCTGTGGTTGTAAGGGCAATGTCTGGGTCTTCTTTCTGCTAGTCTTTCCTGCTTGTAAATATTCTAGGGATGGTGTTGGAAACCATGGACAGTTCTTCGGTCATTTCCAGACTCGGTCATCCCACGCCCGACTGCCTTGCAGCTTCACAACCAATATTCGTTCGAGCGACGCTGTGTTATATCATGGCGTCGGGTGGTGTTATTTATATCTAGCTTGAACGCCATCGTCATACGGCCACCAATTTCGCCGCTCACTTACTACCCCCATTCTCTACCAATATGACCATAATCTCAAATGATCCCATTTGGTGGTCGGCCATTAATTCGTTTCGTTCTGTAAGCTATTTCGTAGGTTCGTGTGCAGCAGTCGGATGTTGTCGCCGATGTCTCAATCTAACCTTGACTGCGGTTTCGCAGTTGCCGCCTTTGTTGGAGTAATGTATGATTGGGGTAAGCATGATAATATCAAAGGACTGCTGATAATCTACAAGTATTTTCAGTACTTACATTCGGACAAGAGGTGTGTTGATGCTATGACCGGAGCAGCCATTTTGCTAAGAATGGTTTTATAGGTCGAACTGGTCTGGGTGAGTAGAGTCTCATGTCAGAGGAACACAAAATGAAAATACACTTAATTCCAGAGGCAACACTGGTCCCCGATGACAATTCTGTATCTCGGTGTATGTAGCTTGCCCGCACGGTTGTCATTGTACTGACTTGAAAATATCCTAGGTACGCTACCTTGGAATCTTATATACTGCGTATGTTCGGAAGGCTAAACAATCGGTGTTGTGCTAATTGCCTATCTCTCATATTCAGCTTGGGCATACTGAGCACGTCTCCTTAGTACATTCGCTATCTTTGCTCCTTCTGACCAACGGCATACAGGCAGTGTTCCGACCATCTCGCTGACAGATACAGTGAGTCTCTTGCACAGATGTATGCTATTCCCCTCCAGTCAACCACTGTGCCGTGTAGGGGTGGGTGTGGCTCTTTACTAACTTGGTTCATTAATGACTATCACACTATACTGCCACAGATGTGAGTCTGTTTGGAGTGTGTGCTACCCGAGGCTGGTCACTGACTGGATTTGTCAGGCTTTATTATGTACATCATACGAAGTTGGATAAGTGCTGTGGTATCTACAATGCTGTTTGGTGAGCTTGGCACTTGCGAGACCTCAGTGACGTTGACCAGACTGAAACATGGTGCAAGTTATCATCATCACTCGGTTACATGCCATGTATCAAAGATCCAGAATGGTCCTTATTTTTCTCATTGTTACCTTCCTGGTTAACAACATTTTCGTCGGAGTGGTAGCTGTAATGATAACGATACATGATTCAGGGGGTATGCTTAATTATGAATGTCAAAAAATTTGCATCTCATCGATTAATACCAGAGGAACTCATTTTCTCTGGCACTTACCAGTGCTTTATTGGCGATGGGGAATATGTCCTACTTCTGTTTGACATTGCTTGGATATTCTCCACTGTGTGGGAAGTCCTCGCACTGTGTCTGACAGTCTGGATTGCGGTAAAACATTTCCGTGAGCTGCGACAACATTCGGCAGGAGGGATTTTCAAGGACTGTTTCACGGTGTTGATTAAAACTCACATGCTTTACTTCACGAGGTGAGTTCATGCCGTGAATATGGGTTTCCATTTCCGCTAAAGGATCGGACATGCTAGCTTTGTTGCTGTTTCTTGTTTCACCCTCATTCTTGAATTCTCCCCAACACTCTCAGCGGTATGTCAATTTTTCACTTACCTCTGCATACGACCATGGTTCATCATTACTACGGAAGGTTTCTCTGGGCACTCAGATTTATACTGGGTTTCTTCAGGTTGCGAGGGCGGTGCAGTTATCTGTGCTGGGACCCCGCCTGATCCTTGGTGTTAGAGAATATCACGCTAAGCTCGTGGCCAACTCCGATGCAGCACCTGGCATGTCTTCAACCACTTCCCAGGAGTGCGTGCATATATCAACTGGCAGTGGTGTGTAACACGGTTGTCTGGTGCTCTGTAAGGAGCAGGAATTATATTTTTTAATCTCCATTCCAAGCCTCGTTGTAGTACTTATGTAGTTATTTGGTGTCCCGAAGTAGATTTCAAGGAGACATCGGTTTAGGCGATATTTTCGTCATAGTATGTGTTCGGTGTTACCAATAAAATTTTGAGAGCAGCAAATGGAAGGTGACCATGAGGAAATGCTGGCCCGTTTGGCATAACGTCCAAACAATTATATTCGTCCATCTCTAAACATTCCAATCACGGATGGGCCAATCCGCACCAACTTCATTAAGGAATCCCTCCCTCGATGTTTGTACGATTGAAGTCAAACCCATACCTACATAGAAGCCAGGACTACCGCGCTCACCATGACAAGACCAATAACAGGCAGTCACACGTTTGGGACACCGTGCATTGCACCTTGTTTTTTTTCTATCCAACATCAGCGAACTGAGTCGGATGCAGCAGTGCAAGTGTTCCTATGTTCTATATTCGACCTCCAGATCAAGTTGCACGGGTTCATGACCATTCCTTCGTTACCTTATTCATTATAGGGGCACATACTGCTAGTCACACCAGCCAATGTGTGTTTTCTTTTCCTCCTCTGAAACGTCTTTGAAGCACGTCGACGTTTAAGGGACACACATTCTCCAGCCGGCAGCAACTGGCGACGTTTCACGTGCGAAATTTCTTCTTCAGCCAGCAGCGGAGGAGCTGTGACTTCGGATACGAGTTATCGTTGTGTTGAGATATACATTCCACCGTCTGAGATGTTGACCAGCATCCAAAATCCACTGCTGGTTGCCTGCAGGTCCTGCTTCTAGTGTTGTCGGACACTCGAGGTCTACGTCAGTCAGGAAGCTGTCAGCAGGATAGCTTATCATTCGAAAATGGCTTGGTGGCATGCCTTTGGCGCACGCTTTCACCCGTTGTTGCTTATCGGAAGGCTGGTGATTAAAAAAACGCCTCCAAAATCGGAACGAGGAATGGAACAACAGCGAGCTGTTGAAAATGGCTTGGGCTGATCTCACTTGACCAGAAGTACCAGGAATGTTCTCAGAGAACCAACGTGTGATTTTTGCATGCTCGTGAGATGAGATATCGCTACAAAATGGTAATCTGTATGCACTCGCACCATCCAGGTTCTTTGATCGCAAGATGTAGTGGTCTGGCAGGGGATATGCCTCCGCACCACACTGGTTCAAGTCAGAACTGTCAAGGAGCTCCCGAAGCGAAGCAATATGAGAAGCAAAGGTGTCTCGTGGGTTAAGGGAGGGATAGGGCATTTGAAGCGGAGCGCGCAAAGACACCAGTTCTGACACGCAGGGTGGGGTTTGACGCGGCATGCAAATGGGCTTTGATGTGGCATAGGTAAGTGTGGAGGTTGACACTAGTACGGAGGCTGTGAGGATGCTGGGGAGAAGTTATTGTGGTTTGAGTGGTGCTTGCCAACCTACATAGTACTTCTGAATGAGGCTTGACTTGGTAGTACAGGGTACAGAAGCTGCATCAGACTCGACAAGGTGGAATCGAGTTCGATAATACTTCACACTGCATCTGAGAACCAACATTAGATCAATGATTATGTAAAGGCAATACAAGACAAACACAAGATGCACACTACATTATGCATTATTCCCAAGTAGTACGAACGCGGAGGACAAGTACTGTAGATATGATGGAAAGTGAATGCAGCACTTCAGGGCCTGTACGTAGATGATCATTAGGGAGGATTCAAGGTATTTGGAACTCATTTCGAGCGACATAGGATGGTGTTTGAAACATGATCTGTATGGTAAGACTGTACTCTAGGATTTGTGACACAGTACTGGCTTTGTGACATGCAGTGACGTGCACTGCCACAAAAAATATCGTGGATTTGGCGTAGGTACTGGGGATTGCGCTCACCATTAAGTTTTAACGCGTCAATAATGGCGTCTTCGTCTTCGTCCGCAGTGCCTTCGCACCCTGTCGTATTTACGACCAAGACGCCCTATGCACTCCCCTCCCAAAAATTCATGATCCCGTTGGATTGGAAACGCTACCAGCTCTCCCAGCTCATCAACAAAGCACTCGACCTCCCCAGGCCTATTCCATTCGACTTCCTTGTCCATGGTGAAATCCTCAGAACATCCCTATTGGAATGGCGCGCAGAAAAGGGTGTCGGGGAGGTGAGAAAAGTGATTAAGTTGGTTTGAGGGAGAGACTGACATTGTCATAGGAAGATACATTAGAAATTGAGTATTTCGAAAGTGTTATGCCTCCCCAGCGCATATCTGAGCTTCCCCACGAGGATTGGGTGTCATCGGTATCATGCGGAATACCTCGGTATGTTCCATCACTTCGCGATCCATCTACTAAACCTCCAATTATCACTACAGACATTTTGTAACATCATCATATGACGGTCACTTACGTCTCTTCGATTATTCCCAAAATCCCCTCCTCGATATCTCCGTGCACCAAGCACCCATCACTTCTGTCTGCGTCGTGCCATCGCCGTCAACAGAAACCGAGTCTCGCATTCTAGCAAGTTCGTCGCATGACCTCACCGCGTGTCTCACCCGCATATTTCTGGGCTCTGAGGGCCCAAGTGCATCCACCGTGACTTCTCTACATCTACACACCAGTCCACTATCTTCAATATCTACTGATGTATCTGGTTCGCACCTCCTCACCTCTTCGTG